ATCGGCACTCAGCTTCATACCAGGCACTGGCTTTATTGAATAAGTCGTAAGGGCTGATCAATAATCGCCATGGTCAAGGATGAATCAATGTTACATGTTTTTAAAAGAGATACACTTTCTAAACTTCATTTGTAACCACTGAAATGCCTTCAGCAAGCCTAATGTTTCGGTGGTGGTAAATTTAGATTTATAAAGGTCAGCACAGCAGGTGAACCTTTAAATCTTTTCAACCTATTCCGGTCAAAAGTGATATTATTCTTTCAAACACAAACCTTGATGCTTTGTGAGTGTAAGTGTTGAGGCCGTCCGTTATATTTAGGGCATAACAATTCTGAGTTAATCACTGGTGTGACTGTAATGACATCCAAGCAAATATAGGCATCACACAGTACTGAATTGTTTTTAATTGAAGGAGGAGTTGCTATTAGAATACTGAAAACATTTACTTACAGAAGACAATGAAAGGATTTGTCCCAAGGGTAACATTGCATGTTGGTAAATACAAAGAGTGAAACTGCAATGAATAGCGCGAGTTTTATAGCACCCATGTTGCAGGCTAGAAATACTTCCAATTTGTTATGAATGCCACAGAACATTTTATTCTCATCTATTCAGCATTTAGAAAGCCATGAGATTAATCCCTATGGACAACTGGAAAAGAAAGTATTTTTTTCTGTTCATTTTAAATAATCTCCTCTGTTTCTTGCCATGAAATAAATCTGCAAATGATTAATGGATCACTATAGGTCATGTAGGTTATGCAAGATTCATCATTGGTATAAGACTCATGACCTGAGTGACTAGATTTATGGCATACATGTGGGTCAAGTAATGAAACAAAAGTGTTATTTTACAATGATCGACCCTACATAATTTTATGTTACAAAATGCATCTTTCACACAAATAATTTTAAAAAAGTACTTTTCCTATTGCAGTCTTCTGAAAAAAATATACAGGTGGTCGAAACCATTGAATTAATCAGGACAAGTGTTACCTTCAATATGCGTCCCTACTGATGTGTAATATTTGTATTTCATGCCTTTATTTCCCTCCACTGGTGTTGAGATATATTCTGTTGATGTAGCATTTCAGAGTTACCCACAATTTGGCAAATTCTTAAATACAGGCTTAATTTTGAAGCTGGTTTCTTTGAAAAACTAAAGAAAACTCAATTCAATAAATTCTAGACTCTAAAACCGTACATGAATAGAGTAAATGTAGAGGCAGATGGATTTGTCCCCCTTCATTTTCAGCACTGGGAGTTAACCTCAGGCTCTTTGGGTCCAGGTGCAACATGGGGTTGATATTGAATGAAGTTCTCTCTAACTTGCTCCATAAACATTAACCCACAATCTCACGAGACAGTCCTCGACTGCATCGTTTCACGAATGTTTTCATTTCCCTCAGCAGCCAACCTTATGATCTGCGTGAGTGAGACTGAGATTCTTGGTTTAGTGACAATTAGTGCTAAATTAGTTGTGGGTTTTCCTGTGCCTGATGGGAATTATGTGGAAAAAAAAGTCAAATTCAAAGTTACAAAGTTTTGCGCAGTAAGAGATGTGAAAGAAATAATTTTAAATATTCATTTATCTCACAGAATTTAATGGCTAATTATCAATTTTTTAAAAGGATTATCTTTTGCTGTGCTCCAAATGAAATGTACAACGCTTCATTTAATATTGCTATGATTGGAAATATTACAGTTCATTTATTTTATTCTATGAGTTGTTGAACATTTCCTCCAGAATTTTGGCAAAATTTATGAGGAAACTCAATCGAGTTTATCTTTCATATCCAACCTGGAATATCAAAATGGCCAATGATCTGTAGAAGTGAGTTAGCATCATTTCTATTCAATGATGTTTGCACAGTGAGTGAAAGAGTGGAAACAATAGGAGCGAAAGAGCCCCTATCAGTGTATTCCAGTTTGTCTCTGCGTGAACCTACTCTATTTGAAGATTGATTTCATAGTCCATCAAGTTAATTCCCAATGGTTCGTTTCAACTGCAAAGCATCAGACGCATAATCAGGACATGCTGGCAAGCAGCTAGTATCGAACGTAACCATGAAGAACTGCCTTTTCTTCCTTTTCCTAGACAACAGCCACGAGATGAGCAAAGCAACTTGGGTATCACAAGCATAATGGAAAGAAAACAATAAGTATATCAGCATAATAACTAGAAATTATCCACAGACCAATGAACTGAAAAGAAATGTCAAAAAATATTCTATTATATCAAATAGCATTTCCTCAAATATTTAATTTGCCATTTTATGCACTCATGATCGCAGATTTTTTTAAAAAAATTGTTCCGTTATGAAATTAACCTTCTAGGTTTATAAATGTTTTGCATAGATTACATTGTACAATTTGATATGGTTTTGTAAGTTTTTTTCATGCACTTTTTACGCTGTTCCCTAGCTCTCACATCTCATCATTTATAACCAATGACCTCAATACAGTTCTCTTTCAGCTACGGTGATATATTGGGCAGCACTCTTTTTTTGCAGCCTTCACTCCTAAAGTTTGTTTAAAAGAATGCAGGAAAGTAATTGGGAAATTCAATTCCTTTAGGAAATTAAATACCCATATGTTAACCATGAGGCTTCATATTAGATTTATTGAGAGTGAGTACTTGTTTACATCTGTTTTGAAGGAAGGTCAACTGTGTTTGTCTCTGCCTTCCACTCATTGATATGTTACAAATTGACAAATGTACAAATATGCGCATCAAAAGTCGATGAACTCATGTGTGATGCATTGTTAAAAACTATATGGTTTTGAGCATTTAATAAGAAATTTTAACTACATGAAGCTGATGGCCCAATTTGCAACAAAAAAACAATATTTGAGACATATATTGAAGTAATTGCAGTATTTGTGTACATTTTGACCCTGAATGTACAGTTTTTGTAAAATTTGACTGACCATTTTAAGAAACATATTTAAAAATATCACTAATGGGATATCACTGTACAGGGTTCAGTTTGTTGTTGTAATGGTTGAATTAATATACCACCACATTGTATATTGAATACAGCTGTTTTCTGCTATAATGCAAACCAGAAAAACAATCAATTCCTCAATTTTGTAGGACATTTAAAATACCGTTTGAAAATGAGCATCTTGAAAAGAATGAAAATTGCTTTGGTACATGAAAAAACTCACCTCAAGATAAGTTAGGATCCTGCCCAGCAAGCAAATTAAAATTGAGATCACTTTACTGAAAAAACCTGTAGCGAACTTCTATTTGTATATATTGTAAGTAAGGAATGATCAAAGAGCAGAATAGAAGCTTTGTGGATTGGGTAAGACAGGAATTTAAAACATTTCCAGGCTTCAAAAATGCTTTTAAACATTCACTCTCTTTCGATCCACAGGGAATCCATGAATTGTTGGGAATAATGGGATAGCGATGGCTGTCGGGTATCTGGAGAGAGCAAAGGGGGGGGAAAAAAATAAACATAACCCATCTGCAGAGAGGATGGTCACAGCTCTGCACCCAAACTGTGCTTCTCAAAACACTGCAAGATTCATTTAGTGAAAACATGGACTGATGCCACATGCTGTTCAGAATAGATTGGATTACAAAGCTTCATTTTGCTCAGCAGCAGAGGGTGTAGCGTCTGTGGCCAAGTAACTTCAAACAATCTACCATTTACTGATCTGCCATCCAGGAACATAGTCATCTGGATATGGTGCACTTAGACGTCTGAAACTGTTCTGATACTCTTGAAGTGCAATCTCCTGCATTGCTGCAGTGATATTCTTTTCTTTTTCCGTGATGCACAGTTTAAGGAAAACTTGGGTTGTCTCATAGGCCAATAAACAACACAAACAAATATACAGTCAATTCACTTTACAGTGTGTTCTGTGAAGTGCTTTGGGATGTCCTCCCGACGTGAAAAGTGCTATATCAAATGCAAGGATTATTATTATTATTATAATAATAACTAGTAACTGCTAAAGAGCAAGTGTGGAGAGCAGAGAGTATTCTGTGAAGCACTTTGAGGTGTGTCGAAGACCTGATAAGGCACTGTATCAAATGTAAGGATTATTATCATCATCATCATCAAGCTCTTTAGTGACTTGACCTGAAATTTTGTTTTACTTTTACGCACCAATTCTTTTAACAAGACAGGCTTGACGTCAACCAACCAGCCTGGATAAACATTGTTGCAGACTGTCAAGAAGTGACAATTTGTAAATATTTACCCCATTCTTTGGGCTTTGATCTATAAGCAGTCATCACTCGGCCTCTACACTGGGATGTGAGCCTTATCCTTAAAAACTAATTTGCACTTCAACTGCCCCAGCTCCTCCTCTGGAGGAGGAGGGAATCATAGCCAAACTCAATCTGCTCCTCATCAGAGAGTGGATGTTTATTTTTTTAAAAAAGCACAAGTTTAAAAATGGATAGTTAGAGAGTGATCTAATCTCAAAGTTTATCATCTCATAGTTTATCATCTAAAGCTCTCGATTGCATTTCTCCAACTGTAATCAGCTGCGACTCATCCAATTTCCTCATCTTCTGGAACAACTGCCTACATCACTCGATAGTTGCAGAAATTCCATGAATCATTAAATTCTACCTTAGTATCCGTTGTCACCAGGTCACCCAGGTCTAGTGACACAGGCCAGAAAATTGCTGCCACCAACTCCAAGGAATGAATTAAAAAGATCAGCTGGATCAATGCAACAATCTCACCTTGGAGATCCTGGAAATCATAAACTAATAGGCTTAGCTCCTTTACTTTATATATAACAGTACCAAACCTCAAAATGAAAGGAAAGCTTGTAACCTATTCTGCATTGTATCAGATCTCGAGGATCAATAGGAGCCATAATTCACATCAACACTCTCACACAATCTTGGTTATTACAGTAACTTCTTTAATAGTTTCAGGAACCAGAGTTGACCATCTAACCAGCCAATCCTTCTTTACCTTCTTAAAACCACATTCATTGTAAAACAAATAGCAAACAGACAAAGTAAACTTTATTAGAAACGTCTTTATTCAGTCAATTCACATTTAAACTCTCTGTGAAGGCAGCACATCCTTACATTCAACACCCTGCAACTGCAACAGTTTCCAGTTAAAAACTAAAATTGATCAGCCAGAGAACTTTAAACCATACCTAAGGAAAACAAAATAAGCAGCATTTTAAAAAGGTCAGGTCTGAGCAGGAATGATAATGACTCATCTCAATCAGCAGACTGGCTACTGTGAAGCAGAGTTATAATACAGCCTCACTGACCGCACCTATAAAACAATTCCACACACATACCAACCAGTACATTGCAGTGAACAAAGTTTTTTTTTCTCTCAGTTTGGAGTTGAGTGAAGTAAAACAGCTTCGTAAAAACTTTGTTCAAATAAAAGTGACTTGAGCTTTGTAATAGTGAATATTGTACGCTGTTACAGTAGTGCTTTTTATTTTATTTTAAAAAGCTTCATGCAGAACTTCAGAGGGAACCTCAATCTTGCATCAGTAGAATCTTACATGTAGGTGCCATGGTATACATCATCTCTTCTCCCATTTTAAGCAACACGTCTCGTTGCTTCAAAAATTTATGGCCATGCCAAAAAAAATTAACAGCATAGTAAAAGTTCTAGCCAAAACCTCTGCATTTAAAAACACTTACTGAAATAGCCCAGTGATGACATCAGGTCTAGACCAACTGATCATTGAGTTAAAGGAATCTCTTCAACTGCTCTTTGAAATTTGAACAAATACAAAAGAATTACAAGGAAACATCTTCAACCAAAGAACCTGTTATATATTACAGGATTCAGTTTTTTTAATACAATTTAAGACTTGCGTGGGCAACTGGCTAATAATTACAAATGCATATAAAGAGGTTTCTCTGATAAAGGAGAATTTAGTGACAAGGTACAATTCTGCTGTTAAAATAGGAATTCCTTTAAGCACTGGTCGACTTATTCTCTTCATTGAGCGACAGAAACGCCTGCAATTTCTGCTGGGCTCTGCTCAACAAGATCTACGTCTATTGGCAGGGGTCATCACAATATTTCTCTGGGATGCTCCACAGAAAACGTCGATGTAAACTTTCCACCTCTTTGCATTGATTTTCCAGCTTAGTCCCAATTTGTGCATTACTGGTACTGTAAATAATTCCTCAGTGAGGCAGGCAAGGGTAGGGACTCTATTTCGTGCAGTCGTTCTCTGCCAAGCGAAAGACGAATCGATCTTCGACAGAGGTCCATTAAAGGCAGTGGCTCCGCTGAAATAAAAGAAAGGAGAAAATGAAGTTTGCAGGCATCAAATGTACATTTCACAATCCTGCAGAATTTAAACAAATAACATAACATATAGGAGCAGGAGTAGGCCAATCGGCCCTTCGAGCCTGCCCCGCCATTCAATCATGGCTGATCTTCTAATCTAACTCCAGCTAATACCATAACCCTGCCTTATCCCCATAACCGTTAAGCCCTTTTGCAATAAGAAATATATCTATATACCTAAATATCTAAATATACCCCTGTGTTAGCTCACAAATTATTTGCCCCTAAAAGCAATGAAAATGCCTTTAGGGGCAAATAATTATAAGTCTTTTTATATAAATTCAAGACTTGTTAGCAGAATTAGCTCAGGAGTAATTTCCTTCAATTTATTTCCACCCGTCATCATGCAAGATATTAACGTTGCAAAAGTGCGACACGATTAACACATAACACTGGGCACTCTTCAAATACACTTGAAAGCTATTCAACAATCAACAAGAACACAAACGCAGCCTAAACACTGGACAAAGTCTCTGATAGACATCTGAAATTTTAGCTCATAGTTTCCATAAAATCTTTCCTATATTCGCACAATCAGAAGTACACAGGTGAATCATGGTAAATTGGCAATGAAACTAGTCACTCTTTACAGTGACCAGTATTAATGATTTATTACAAAGTAACATTTTTGCTTCAGTGAAGTATAAGAATTTGTAACCCAAGGAAATGGCATATAGTGTTAATTTACCTACGTGGTGTTTCACTTAACCCCACATTGCTCCCCCTTTAAATTCTATTCTACCTTGCCCACCATGCCAAAAAATAAGCTTTGGTACTAGACTCCAGGTTACCAATAAATAATTGTGAATCCCACATTTTGTGCAAGTTCTCGAAGATGTAATTTAGCATCAGCTTGACAATTCAATTTGGCAAAGAGGAATATTCCTATCAGATTCCAAGCAACTGCAGACAACTTCACAGTCTCGTATGGTGAAGTAAATTGAAATAAGACGCATAAGAGATAGCCTCTGCACACACATCCACTCATCTCAGTAGCACTTTATAGATTAGCATAGAATTAGGCTCCACTGCTCAATTGACACAAGCTTATTTACGAAGAAATTAATTTCGTTAATTAATTTCACTAAAATCTTTTGGAGTGCTACCTTTTGGCTCTGGATTTTACCAGATGTCAGCACATTACATGTGTTAAAACAAAGTGCAACAGAAATAGCGCGGTCAAGATCTGATAGGGATCACCCAGCTACCATCAGTGATGCATTACAAAGACAGAGATTCACTTCATACTGACATGAGATTGGTCTTTATTACAGAATGCCTTACCACAGTAATCAATCATTAACCAACCTTTTAATGGCTAAGGATTCAAAAGTCTTTTCAGCAATGGATGACAAGCTATCTATTTCCGTCACATAAACTTCACAATAGCCTACTGCTCAGACAAAACCAGTAACTTTTCAATAGATGCTTAAAATGAGAAATGGTTAAGAGAATGGGGCATCTATAATGGGATATTGCTGTGCGCAATTGACTGCTGCGTTCGCCCACAAATATACAGTCAATTCACTTTACAGTGTGTTCTGTGAAGCGCGTTGGGACGTCCTCCCGACGTGAAAAGCGCTATATCAAATGCAAGGATTATTATTATTATTATCAGTGAGGAGAGTGGGATTAGAGAACACCAGCGCAGACTTGAAGGACCAAATGACCAGGTTCTGTATTGTAATGTTCTCATGATATTCTGTTTTTTTTAACGTTGGAAGAGATCCTTTGCACTTTTAGGACCTAGAATGGCTCGTAGTCTAAAAAAGCTTTTTTTTGGAGGTAGAGAAGGTTTATAGGGCGTCTTCAAACGCAGAGTGAATTCACAAGTTTAACGGTTTGAAACCGGTTTCAGAGCATTTAAAAACTAATAATTGATGTACTTATTTTAGCACCTCTATTTCACTCATAAAGGGGAGAGAAGATAAGGCTCATTGACCTCATATTTCTTGTTCATATGGTTTCTCAGTTTTAAAAATAAATCAATATAATTATGGTCATTCATCCGTTGACTTTCTGCTCTCATTCTGCAAGCTCCACATATGCAACAAAATGGGGCTTCATTTTATAAAAACAATGAGACATGTGGGAAAATTAAGCAAATTCGACTTTTAGTAGTAAAACGCAAGAAATTGACTGAGTGAAACACTTAACAATATTTCAAGTTGCAACAGGACCCATTTTTAAAGGCAACTGGGAGTCATCTCTGTTTGACCACATAAAAGCATTGAGCCATTAGCTTAGAACACGGGGTGGGGAATTAAGTTCACACTAATACATCCCTGAGCAATGCTGTAATTCTTGAACAGGAAACCTAAGGTTTCCTTTCAGGCTAGGCTGCAAACCTGCCAGAGAAGGAAGTACCGAATCATGTTGTTATCAGCAAAGGCCCCACAGACCATAAATCAGTGTCCGTCTGTTCCCTCGACAGAATGAGACGGCTCTTCAATTACCTTCCCAGGGGGGAAAAAAATCTAAAAACAATACAGTGTGAATAAGTTATCTGCTTTAATACGAACAGCTGCAAGTCTTATTGCTTTTATTCATTCAGAGGAGGCAGGTCGACAGATGGCCGGGAGCCCAGTTATCAACTGTAGAGTGAATGGGCAAAATACACCTGCAACTGTTTCAGCACAGACTGACAATTACTCGTATTAATAATTAATAACTTTCCAAAACAGTTGTTCAAGAGAATAAAAAGTACACAGTTTAAATTGTTTGTTGTATACCATCTGTTCCAGAAATACAAAAACCCTGTGCACCTGTGCAACTAAAGCATCCCGTACCACTTTACATCTTGTGAATCAATATCCTTGATTCACAGTTAAGACAGGACTATGAGTAACTTACTGACCGATTAGAGGGATGGAAATCAAAGGACAGTTGCAAGCAAGGAGAGGTATTGGATTGGTTACCAGAGGAAGTTTTGCTGGGATGCTATTTTTTGTAGATTCTTTACAGGGTAGTTAAATTCATGTAGGGTACCAAACTATGGAGGAGCTGGTGGTGGTGGTGGGGGGGGGGGGGGGGGGGGAGATGAAAGGAAAGAGAAGGAGGGTCTGAAGAGTAACAGGAGGCAACCAAGATCTTACAAAACAAGTTGAACAAGGTCTGCTTGTGGTAAACTTAACAGGTACTTGAGACTAACATAACTGAACGCAACATGAACTCGATGGGCAAACAGAACTTGCAAGAGGAAAGTTGAAATCAACATAGAGATGCGAGCTAAGTCATCGATCACTTTGTCTAAACACGGATTGAAGCAATCAGAAAAATTGAACAGGCTGCCGGAATATACTGCTGAATTGGTTAACGTCAAAATTTCCAGCCATCATTGTGTGGATGCTATTCGATGAACCGGCCACTGCTGAAGTATGACGTGACCTTCTGATCAGTAACATGCTCTGTGCAGCTCAGTGCCATAACAGCAGCTTGAGCTGATATTCTAAACATGGTCTTCGTGTGCCATATTTTGCAAATGGAACAGTGGTTGTATGTTAGAATCAGTAACTACCTGAGTATTGCTGTCATTATTTTTAAATGAATAAGTCGCTTTAATGAGTTATACTGAATGGAACCATCACTCATCCCCCTTAGAATAGAAGCAGCGAGAAATCAATGAGGGTGGGTGGGGGGTGGGGGAGAATCATCAGGAAATGACTATAATATCGTCAAATTGAACTATAAAGTACCAGAGATTAGTGTTTTGTTTCCACATTGAGAGCAGAGCCCAATATTTGGGCTGCAGTGTGTAACCAATATCCAGTTTGTTACCATAATGTATGCTGAAAGACCAATTAATTATTCATCTAACTACGCCTGCGGTAACCTCCATATCTGCACAAAAGGGCAAAGTTTTCAAGAGATTTGCTTTATTGCTGCACTTTGGTATAAAATCTGAATATCCATTATTTATGTGTCATTCAGCCTTTCAAGATCATCAATCAATTCCCATTTACAGGCAGCTGATTTCTGAGTTAAGACCAGAATTGCCTTGGGTCTGTGTGTGTGTGTGGGGGGGGGGGGTATGGACTGTGTGGTTAATTTTAAATAAATTGCTGCATTTGCATTACAGCTCAGTAACCGAAAATGATTATTTATTTTTTTAACAGCTCACTGATGTGGATGAGTTTGACAGTATTTGAATAAAATGCTACTTTTAATGACCACTGATATGATGCTCCAAAATTATGAATGATATTTTTCAAATAAAGTTGCAACAGCTTAAGCAAATTGCACAACTGGTATTTAAGAGTAATCACGAGGCAGTCTTCATTTCCCAAATCTGCTGAATCTTTAAACCAAAGTCTGGTTGAGATTAATTGCTGTAGTTAACATGCATTAATTATGGGTAACAGCTGGAGCTGAATTACTATGAAACCAGAGGTAAAAGAGAAAGACTGACTGGCTGTTCTAAACCTCATGTCGGTCAAAATCCCCCAGGATGTATATATACATTCATTATAGTGGGAAACAATGGATAGAATATTGCCATCAGGTATTAGACATGCTTCAACCCAGAATAGAAGCTGTTGAAAGAGCCAATTAAGGTAACACACAGGAGCCATGCGAATCCAATTTCTCCATCTCGAATACAGACACATTCAGGGACCCCACCACCTAGTGTTCCTATATGGGCGGCAGGAAGGAACCCAAGCCAAAAATATCCACCCAATGAGTAGTTGCAAAAATTGAGAATGCAGATAAACGGCCAAAGCCCATGGATAAATACAGCACTAGGTTGAAAGGATCAGGGAAAGAGAGAAGCCATGCAATGCAATGCGCACCCATGTAAGTATAAACTATCCAATTAAACACTCTTGCAGTGGCTCATTCCCCTTTCAGAGTTCTCCTTTCAAAGCTCACGAATCATCGGGATCTTAAGTACTTTTAATGTAACTAAACACTTTTGCTTTAAAACTTGGTTCAGAGGGAG